TTCATAATGAGCAAAATTTTAAGCGACCAATTTTCGACCGTGCGAAAACGATATTTCTTTGGTATGAGATGAATTCATTTTTTTCTCATTTCATCTTTTTATCACCTGATATCTTTTATTTAAAAAAAACAAAATACATCACAAGATGCAGCGTGAAAAGCCCTACAATCTATATAAAACCGCTTATTTTAATTGCGTACTTCTTGTTTTCAAAAAAAAGCAAAATTCTGTGCGACTGCCCAGAAAAAATTATTTTTTTCTATACGAAGAGAAATTCCTTTTTTCTTATCTCATATATAAAATAAACTGTTCTTTATAAATTGTAGAGCTTTTCACGCTGCATCTTGTGGTATATTTTGTTTTTAATACAACATATTAAGTGATTGAAAATTGAAATGCAAAACGTAGCCATTTAATCTGCCTCACCCGTTAGTTAAGTTTTCAACAAAAACAGTTCTTATCGAAGTTTTATTATTATGGTACTAGTTGAATAGGGATAAAATAGCACAGAAAAATAGAGCTTCGTTTTCTCTATCATCTCATAAAGAAAGAAAATTTTCTCAAGCGTTCTATACGAAAATAAGATATCTCCGCCACTACTTTTGGGTACCCCTAAGTATTTCATAAAGGCTGTTATTGCAATATTTTTTCCTTGTAGATTTTCTGTTAATTTAGATCCATTTTCGACAGTATTGTTTCCAAATTTAAGCTTTCGTATGTGTTGCATTCAATGCTATTGCTACTTTCTATTACATATAATCATTGTATGAAATTCTCGTTGAAATTCATCGAATGTGATCATATATAATGGAAACGATAGAATATGGTAGCTATAAAGAATTCCATCCAATAAATTCAAAATCATTTCATTAGTAACATGATAGAAAAAACTTCAAGTTACAGTTGTTGGTATTCTCATCATTAAAAACATAAATGTTGTAATAACAAGTGTAACTGAAATAGCTTTATGTTGAATTCGAGAATTTTGAATTGTTGTCTTACGTTTAAGTTGAATTAAGTAATAGATTACACCACTATTTAATATAACCATTAGTATAAATGGTGCACAAACAGAAATACCTAAATTTATTTGATCCCATAATGGATACATTTGAAAAGCTAAAGATTCTATTGAAACAGTTCCATTGGTTGTGTAAAAACAATCAACAATTAAAAATGGACTATTAATTATAGTACAACATGTGATAATACATCCAATAATAATGAGAATATTTCTGGGATGACTACACCACGTTCTATGAAGATGACTGAGTGATAAATATCGCTCTAAACAGACGAAAACACGAACTCATGATGATGATTGAGCAGAAAAATAATTAAGAAATGAAAACAATCTACAGAAAGGTACATTTAAAGTTTGAATACTAAATCCATACATAACAGAAAAATAATGATCAATATTCCATCCATATAACATAAGAATATCAAACACAGCCATAGCTCGCATATAATGAAGTGTTGGCCAAGCTTTTGTATTTCTAAATATCGATCGACAAAGAACAATAAACGTAAGTGAGTTTAATAAAGTTCCTAGAATTGTAAGTATTAAAGCATAATGAGCCACAATATATTGTGGGGTGTGGGTGTGGGTGTGGATGTGAATGTTCTCATCATGCACATACCCACACCCACACCCACACACCCATTGGGAAATATGAAAAGATGCATGCATAAAAGCTTATGCGTATATTTCATTTGTATGTGGGATACTGCAGCTTTTTGGGACATCTATATCGAAATAAAAGTACAGATTTTCAGGAAAAGAAATCTGTCTTTATTATTTAATTGATCTGTAGCATTTAGAAAGAAAGAATTCGCTTATCTTTATTTTATAAGATAACGAATTTATGTATCTTGTGTTTAAAGAATAAAAATGTTTTCAGTGATCTAACTGTATTCTGTAAATGTAAATATTCTCTCATGTCTTTTCTTTAATACAAAAGAAGAAGAAAGTTAAATTATTAGCACTGGTAGACACCGATGACTTTGCGTTTCAGTCTGATAATATGTGGATAGCAATGCCGCTGATTTATAAGGAATGAAATTTTCGTTCAAACCATTTTTTCTTTCCATTTCTGCTTGAAAAAGCATTTCTCCTTAAAAGAAACGATTTCTGCTTGAATCAAAATGCATGTAGAAGAACAGAAAAAGATACATATATGTTTATATTCGTTCTTTCCATTTCTCCTTGATATGTATGACTTTGTGTGGGGTGAAGCATTTCTCTATAAATGGAAACAGTTTCCTCATCGACTGGTCCAATTGTCCACTGCTGTATCTAAGGCTGTAGAAACTCATTTTCTCGTTCTTTTTTTTGCTTGGAACAATTGAAAAAAAAATTTCTCAAGGCTGAAGACCTTTTCTTTATTCCCTTCTCCGCCTGAATCTACCACTGTCGTAAATGATTCGTACAAAAAGCTAAAGAATTAAAAAGTGAGCCAGTACTACTGTTTTTTTTGTCTCGTCACGATTTGAAAATTTGTTTCTTCCAGCTTCCAGTAAATTGATTTTACCTGGCCATCTTTCCCAGTGATTACTCTTTGGGTGAAATCCATTATCAAGAAACATGGTGCACTTCATGGCTGCAATGTTGGTGCTGATTAGCTGGTTGGACACACATTTCTTTAAGCACTTTTTTTGTAGTGAAGGGTTTGTTCTTATGAAAGAAGCATAAGGCAAGAGAAGAATTTATTATTTAGAAAACAATTTCAGTCAAGGAGACAAATATTATACACTTCTATTAAGCAAATAATCGAATGGGGGAAAAAATCCATTTCTTGATAACGAACGGTGGTAGCAAAAAAAATCAGCGTAAAGGCTTAGTCAACGCAAACAGTTAGATTCGATCATAAAAAATACTTTACACTGCCGTCTAGTTGAATAGTTAAGTTATTATTTGCAAATTCTCTATTAAACGAGCAATATCAAATCTATACAATGATTACGATGATGTACCGAATGGTAAGTACAAATATCTGTTGTAGACTTAATCATTAGAAGTTTTATCACTATCCTTTCTATCCTTCCCTCTCCTTCTGTAAAATAGAAGTCCAATCCATGCGAACTAGTACAAGATGCAATGTAAACTCTAGAATACAGAGTTCATCCCTTTTCGCTTGTAGCTTCTATGGTGTCTCAAATTTCGTTTGTTCAGCATACTTTCTATTAACGAACAGACAAATTTCTTTTGTCAACTAAGACATGCGTACGGATGGATATTAATGAAAGGCAACTGTTCAGGAATTGGCAAATATGAAATAGGCTTGTTCAAATACCGTCCTGCTGGTCTTTTTCCTATTGTAGGATTATATACAGTCTAGAAATGAAATGATGAAAATTTTTGTTAAGTTAGCAGAAATATAAATAAGTTTTTAACTGAAAAATGAGATGTCTCAAAAAGCTGAACAATGATCACACTAAGTTAAAATATGTTGCATGCGTCGTGATTTGCGACACATTAAAGTACGACACGAGGTGCTCACTGCGACACATTTTCCATCGGTTCTTTTGAAAAAGCATATTTCGATTTTTTTTCAATTTAATTCCATTTAATTATTCCTATTCTGAAAACTCATGCAGGTCAGATCCTGGGATCTGTGCGATCTCGAGTTGGTCCGATTTGGACCAGACTGCTTCAGGGTAGTCTTCTCTCGATCATGGATCGAGATTGGCATTTTCTCAATTAAAAAATGATCGAGAAATAATCTAGAAAAAAAGAATATTTTGAAAATTTATCTTTCGTACGTTCAACCGCGTAGTTTATATATCGCTATGTATGCATAACAAAACGGTGAATGTATAGTCAGCAGACAGAACGCGACAAATTCGTATACGACACATTCTAAGCACGACACATTTTTTGTGCTGGAGTGCACGACCTAATGATTCACGACACATAAACGCGACGCATTAAAATTTAGTGTCTAGGTAGGAATTATGTGAGAGCTTATCCAATTCAAAAACATATAACATTATGGTAGCACTCATAAGATAGGAACAATCTGTTTCATACAGATGAGAAGTCTTCATTTAATAGTAAAGAATTAAATTTTTATTTTTTTTCTAGGATAATTGAAATATATCATTTTGCATTGCTAAACTGTACAGAAACTGCTAAGGTGATCTTGCTTGGCAGAGCCATATCAGAACATTTCTCATAGAAATTTTTTCCCAACTCCACCAAATCTCGATAGTTTCTCAGGTCAATGCATCGTAATAGGCGTGCTTTAATCGTCTCTATATTAAGAACTACGAACTGCTGATAACAGATGAATGTGTGAGTCAGAAATGTAGTCAAATCAAGACAGACATCAGGTTATCGGATACTATGAAGCTGAACAAGCATAGAAGTTAATCTCGCATTCGATAATAACTATCATGCTTAGTATAAAGGTTCACAGATAGTTTAGAGATTTCAATTTATCGAATCTTGTGTGCTTGAAAGTGAATCGATTCGTAGCTGCTACATGGAAAAAGTTGATCACAACAAGAACTCACCTGCAAACCTTTGATTTGTGAAACAAATTAGAAGTCTAGTGGGCTACTATTCTGGGTGTGTTGCGATGGTCGGAGGGTGATAGTTTATAGTTTAAAAAACTTTGTTTCTTGTCAAAGTTGATCACCTAGTTAGACTTGTTCTCGCTCAAAACAGTCTATGGGCGATTTGGAAGCGTTTTCGGTATCCGGAGTTTGTAGTTTCACCCCATATTTTAAGAATTGCACTGCTAAGGTGCACTTGTGCAGAGTCATATCACTGTTATTATTTTTTCCTGCAGTGACCTGGAACACATTCATGGCTACAAAGCTGAGCTTGTTGACATCGCAATATAAAAGAAACGAGACACTTCTAAGCTTCTGATAAACCCAAGGAGGAAACATTGTACTTTTGTACTTCATCGTGCTTTAATGTATTTTAGCATACTTTAACATACTGTGTGGTACTTTAGACTACTTTAAACTGTTGCTGGTGCTAGACTTAAAGAGACTGCACTACGTTTTGAATATCTCGGCATGGTTGCAGCTATCGAGCTGCCGTTTTCATCAGCGTGCAGCCACCACTAGGGGAAGAAGTTAAACTACATTCAATTCTCTTTGATCACCGATTAGGCATATCATTAGCAGACGCCTCCTTTGAGAAAATAGGCCCGAACTCGATGAGTACAGAATCGGTTTTTTATTCCACATATCTATTCTAACAAGAGATACCAACTTCCACACAAAATTTCGGACCATTTTATTTTGTTCTACGAAAACTGAATCGAAGTGATCGGAGACATGTATAGTAGTTTCAGAGATTGTTTTCTGATAAGGAGTAATACCGAATTCACGTCGATTTTTGGGATTTTGACTTGTGCGAATATCACAGCATTAACAGTGGAATAATGAACAAGCTTTCTTGATTAAAAGCTTATCATAGTATTTCATGTAAATTGATATGAATGATCCTGTACCATGTTTTCGAGATAATCTATCCTTAGAGATCATCAAAGAATACATTTTTAACTTCATGATTACTTGAACAATGTTCATGTCTTTTTTTTCTAAAGACGGCACTCTTAATCACTATCCTGAGAACGAAACAAGTATTTTGGACGAAACTGCGTATGAAGGACATAAATATAAGCCGTGTTGATTTATTATTAATCATCTTCAATTTCATGGATACTTCCTAGATCAGAGTTGTTATTGATTAAGCCAGGTGCCGCATTTTCTTGCACGAAACGATCAGCTATTCTGAAGACATTTTTGATTTATACAGCGTAGAAAATGGCATTTTCAGCTGTTTTCTTATCAAAATCGGCGATGGGGTCAGCTACGAGATTGTGAGTGTTATTGAGACGACAGTGGATGTTGTTTTTGTGTACATCTTCCTTCAACCATGATCAAGCTACCTCTATTAGATGAAATCTGCAATAGTATGCAGGTTCATGAAGGATTTTAACACTAAATATATTAGTCTCCTTATCAACCTGGTCAAGAAAGAATGCGGTTGGATTTTCTCATGTGATATTATGGTGTTCTTCTTCTAATTGATATTGAGTATAACTTAGTAAAAAATTCATTTTGATAGTCGTGGTTAAGTGAAAAGTACACTTCCTGAAGATAGATAGATGAGAGAATTCGGATAAAAGATCTTTCAAAATACGCGATGCATCTTATAGTGCCGCACAAGTCGGTTAGTTGGTGTTAATTCGAGCAATCCACCCTTCATTAGAGCTGAGTCAAATACGACATTATGCTTTGGTAGCTATTATTGTACTTGATCCTTCGTCCAAGCCCACTTATCTGACTTTCTATCATCCGTTAATGTTGAATTCCATGTGGCATTGTTAATCACGATGCACATTCGCTCAGTCAGACCTGAAATACGGCATCTAGATATGAAAACTTTGCATATCTCTAAATACTATGGTGTTCACGAAGATGAAAGAACAGTTTTCTTATCTCTTCAATGAAATGTTGAGAATTCTTACTGCGCCTAGTTGAACAGTTGAAAATTTCAACCGAAGGCAAGTAAAATCCCTGATGGCTAGTCATAGCCGAAATAGCCAGTTGAGCATCCATGTTTTGATATTCAAAAATCATTTTATCAAAAAAGCATACCATCTTGTCGGAAGTCGTCTATCTTTCGAAAGAAATATGCATGTTGCGCGACTATAAGTATGTTGTTAAGTGGAATATTTCCTTTAGTAATTTGTTTATAACTGAACATTAGTCTATGCAAATGTCGTCGGAGACACGTTTTTGATGAAATAGAATATTCAGGATAATTTATATGGAGTCTTTCGAGAAGTACAGCGACGATTGGATAGACTTGATCAGCTGAAAACAAAGAGAGCACTGGTAACGAGTTTTTTCTGCTTATTCGGACAATTCTTGTAGAGGATTGCCTGGTTTTATTTTTGCAATTACTGATGTAGGAATGATGGTTTTAGAACTAGCTACCAAAGCAGAAGGGTTACGTTTTCAATTAAGTTTTGAACGATACTGAACGATTCACCGATCTCAGAAGACGAGATTCTTGAGTTTCATGTTTGCTGCTGCATTTCTTGGTTTAATGAACAAATGATACAAGACAGAGATCTAACATCGCAAGTAGAGGATCTGGTATGCTGTACAGGGCTATTTTTGAATCTGCCTTTTCGTTGTGAAGAAAATCAATGACTCGGAAATCGCTTCCTTGATTTCAAAACGAAAAATGGATCCCACTTGGTATAGCTTTGATAATGTACACAAATCAACAAGAGAATACAAGAGAAGCAACTAAACGAAAATCTATGAGGACGAACAGCCGCATGCTTTATCTTTCTATGTGCTGCATCATTCATTGAACCAAACATAATGAGAAGTGCATTGAGAGATTCATATTAGTTTTAATCATTTTCTAAACAAGTCTTCCCTCGGCGTTCTTAGGAGAAAAAAACTCTAAGACTGTTCAAGTAATCATGAAGTTAAAAATGTATCCTTTGATGATCTCTAAGAATAGATTATCACGAAAACATGGTACAGGATCATTCATATCAATTCACATTAATCACTATGATAAGTTTTAAGCAAGAAAACTTGTTCATTGCTTCACTGTAAATGCCGTGAGACCAGCACGAGTCGAAGGTCTAAAAATCGGTCTATTTTTGGTATTACTCGTTATCAGAAAATGATCGCAGAAAGTATTGGACATGTTTTCGATCGTTTTGACTCAATTTTCTTAGAACAAAACGAAATTATTTGAAATTGTGTTTGAATGTAGAGCTGGTATTCCTTGTTACAATACATGTGCGAAATAAAAAAATTGGTCTTGTACTCATCGAACTCAGCCTTATTTTCTTAAAAGAAGTAACAATGCACTAGTTCCACTTCCGACCGATCGACTGGGTACCAGTTCAGCTAAGTATCCAGTCCTTCTGAACTGGTGCATCCATAAAAGAAAGTGTCTACTGATGATTTGCCCAATCGTTGATCCAATAGAACTGAATGTAGTTCGACTTCTCCTAGCAATGGCCACACGCCGGTAAAAAACGCAGTTCGATAGCTTCAAGTATGTCGAGATACTCAAAATATAATGCAGTCTCTTTCAGTTTGACGCCAACAATACCTTAAAGTAGCCTAAAATACTTTAGAGTACAATGAAGTAGGTTAAATGTGGCATGACCTATCAATAGTGTACATTTTTACAGGTAAAAAAAAGAATTCTCTTTTCTGTAAGTAAAATCGACTAGTGAAAGCCATAGAGCATCTCATGACCTATTTCTATTATAAATACACTTTTTGTCTGATGTGTATTCTGCTAAGACTATTCAGTTTCGTCTAGATAAAAACTATGTTTTACCATGAAAGATACAGAGGAATTACATCTGAATGGTTTGAAACTAACTCGAAACATAAGGATGATTAAAAGGAAATTCAGACACGTTCGCCAAAAATAATGAGTTTTAGTTTCGAGTAAGTAAATGAATTCGAAGTGACTATGAAGTCAAGAAATACCATCGGCACATGAATGTCCAATAGGCTCACTTTTGATATCTCTTTTAAATACCGGCTGATGACTGTCAAAATCTAAAACGAAAATAGTTTTGCATGCTCCTTCTACTGACAGTGTCAGAATTTTAGAGTATGTTGAGCAGGTCAATTAGAGTTTCTAGTGACCGTCTGAAAATGTGAGCATTTTGATATGACAATTTTTCAATTGTGATAATGAGATATTGTTGCCCATGTGAAATTAGGTCTCTCATGATGTGTTCAGTCGCCAACAATGTCTGATGAGGAGCTAGAGTTATCAAACAGTCATATGCCATGACTCACACGGTAGTTGAATAGCTGCGCTATCTGATTCAACACAGACGATCTCACGACGCACAGACAGCTCAACGCTTAATGTATTTCTATCTTATCAATGGCATAGGCAAGCGAGGGTGTGGGTGTGGAGTGTCGAGTGTAGCTTTCGTTATGACTATGTATATGTGGGTTTTGTATTAAACGAACACTCACATCTACATTCTACGTAACGCAAGTACTATATAAATTTTCATGTTTAATATGACATAGGTGACGGAGCCTTTAGGCTCGGAGAACCTCAGATTTGCTCTAGAAAAGAAGAAAATGCTCGAGCAGGCACAGATACTTGAAAACAGTTTACTGATGCCATGATGGAGTTATTTTTTGGCAAGCAGAAATTCTTCGAACATGTGTCTGGTCGAGTTTTTTTCATGATTGCATTGAGCACAACGTTAGATGATGGAAATACACGACTATATTGTTTTGAAACATCTTGACCATTAAATGACGCAGTTCTAACACTGGAGATTTGGCTAGACTTTCGGATCTTTTCTTTACCCACGCCAACATTCACGCTCACACCCTCATCTGGCTCCCTTAAGGGGTTAATATGAGTCAAATGACGATATGCGATCGAAGAGTCGAGTCCACAATAATACTTAAAGACTGAAGTTAAAATTAGACACCAGAACCTCACACTCAATTCTCATTCGTTACATAACTATTTGTTTAATAGATAGAGCGACCGATCATTAATGTACACCATTCTTGCCACTATGAAACGAATCGGCTGTGATATTTTGACTGCTGCGAGAGTCTACTGACTATGTGTCATACAACCGTTAAGTTCACCGATGCATTGAGAGAAATCAACACAAATGTACTGATCATTTTAAGATTCTGTTATTAGCTTCAAAAACTTATACAGACTTAATAATTATCTACTAATCATGTAGGGTTCGATTTGGCATTATTTTTTTTTTTGAGAGTAAATTACTCGTAGATTGAGAAATACTATAAGCTACTTCTGCGAAAAATGCATGCATTTCTTCAGTAGCTGATATTGCCGTCTTACACGCTATACGGCCTATACTTACACAGTTTTTGTTTCGAAAAGGAGGGAATTTGGAGACTGGCTGCATTGATAGTGGTACTTTCAAGCAGCAATGTAAATGGTATACCAACTCACAATGGTATGTTTTGCTTTCGCTCATAATTTTTTAATAGTGTACCTTGGCTACCTATATAATAGATGCTTCACATGTCGCACCAATAGAAAACAATATTCGAGCACTCATTGCTCGCCAAGTAACAACTGATCTCAATTGTTTATGTCCTTGCGCATGTACGACAGTAGCAATATCAACTGCAGAAGTGCCATCAATAACAACATCAACAACAACAACAACGACAACAACATCATCATCAACAACAACAACAACGATAACAACATCATCATCATCATCATCAACAACAACAACAACAACGACAAGAACATCATCATCATCAACAACTTCATCATCATCATCATCAACAACAACAACTTCATCATCAACAACAACATCATCAACAACAACATCATCATCATCATCAACAACAACAACAACAACGACAACAACATCATCATCATCAACAACTTCATCATCATCAACAACTTCATCATCATCAACAACTTCATCATCATCAACAACTTCATCATCATCATCATCAACAACGACAACAACATCATCATCAACAACAACTTCATCATCAACAACAACATCATCATCATCATCATCATCATCAACAACAACAACGACAACAACATCATCAACAACAACATCATCATCATCATCATCATCAACAACAACAACGACAACAACATCATCATCAACAACAACTTCATCATCAACAACAATAACGACAACAACGGCTACAACAACAACGGCAACAAACGTCCAACTATTAGGGGCAAATAATAATAATTCAAATGTGGAATTAGGACTAGGTCTTGGTTTAGGACTTGGCGGGTTAGCAATAACTTTATTGGCAACTTGTTCATGTATTTATTATTATAGAAGGTAAGACGAGACTTACTTCAGAAGCAATTGAATCTCGAAATATTCTTTTCAGAGGACGAACAAAAACTAAAAAGAAAAATGATAACGTTCCAAGTCCTTCTCCTTATGTGGCATCACCGCAACAAACAGAGCCAGTGTCCAATGTTAATGAACAACACGCTAATGAAGATACAATTAGTGATATAACACTAATTGACGAACCAAGTTTATTTCCTAAATCTAATGTTAATGTAGAACACGCTAATGAAGATTCCATTAGTGATGTAACACTGATTGAGAATCCAGGTTCAGTACTTGTATCTAGAGTTATTGTACAACGTGCTAATGAAAATCCAATCAGCGATGCATCACAAATTACAAAATCAAGTTCTGCAATTGTGCCTATTATTAATCTGCGACATGTTGATACAGAAGAACCATCGATGACTGAAGAATATCGAGTTATCTATATATATGAAGTTGATACAAACACAGATCGTATACTACATTCAACAACTTCAGACATAAGTGAGCAAATACCAAGTGATGTCTTGAAAACAACACATCGACGGCTCAAATCACCAGATAACCGTGATAATAATCCAGGCTGTCGTGCTCAGTATCGTAAAACACTAGAATCGATTGAACAGAAATCATCCATCAGTAAGTTATTCCATTGGTTGATCATTTGCGATAATCACGTACGATGAATAGCCTTGGCTTTTGTATTCGATTTCAGTAATTTCAAAAATCTTTTTGCCATAATATATATATATGTCGTGCCAAAGTTATAACGGTTGCCTAAGTTATAACTTAGGCAAAAATGTTGCCAAAGTTACAACTTGGACGTTCTTTCTTGCCAAAGCTATAACTTAGACGTTCATATTTTGTCGAAGTTGTTCCTAACATATAAATCAATATATTGATTTATTTGTCAGGAACAACTTCGACAAAATATGAGCGTCTAAGTTATAACTTTGGCAAGAATGAATGTCGAAGTTATAACTTAGACAAAAATTTTGCCTAAGTTATAACTTTGGCAAGAAAGAACGTCCAAGTTGTAACTTTGGCAAAATTTTTGCCTAAGTTATAACTTAGGCAATCGTTATAACTTTGGCACGACATATATATATATATATATATATATATATACAGGGTGTCCCAGAAATAGTTTAACGAAAAGAAAATTCGAATATCTCCCTTACAGCTCGAGCACACGAGCTGATTTTTTTATCAATGATACAGGCATGTTCAAAGTTTATATCCATAAAGACATGTCTTGAGAAACCCTTTGTTAAGTACCACTATTGGCCTCAACAAAAAAAATTTTACTTTTTTACAGATAGAAAAAAACCGATATACAGAGTGGCGTAAAAGTCACTTGGCCGAAAAAAGAATTGAATATCTCCACTAGGGCTCGAGAAAGCGATCTGACTTTTTTATCAATGATAGAGGTACGTTCAAACCTTATATTCATAAAGACATGCCGACAGATATCCTTTGTTAAGTATGTTGTTTTTTTACCTATCTGTGAAAAAGTAAAAATTTTTTTGTTGAGGCCAATATTGGTACTTAACAAAGGGTTTCTCAAGACATGTCTTTATGGATATAAACTTTGAACATGCCTCTTGAATTGATAAAAAAATCAGCTCGTCGACTCGAGCTGTAAGGGAGATATTCGAATTTTCTTTTTGTTAAACTATTTCCAGGGACGGCGCGACCGGGGGGGGGGGGGGATGGGGGGTCACCCCCGCTCCTGCTTCGGAAAATTTTGATTGGAGCTTTCTCCGAATTTGAAAATTTTGGTAGTGTCAATTTTCTCCAAATTTGCGGGATCATTAGGTGATTTTCTCCGATTTTGGAGAATTAAAGTACACAATTTTCTTCGATTTTGGAGAACTACAGCAGACAAATTTCTCCAATTTTCGAGAACTACAGTACACAATCTTCTCCGATGTTGGAGAACTACAGTAGACTATTTTCTCCCACTTTGGAGAACCACAGTAGACAATATTCTTCGATTTTGGAGAAATACAATAAACAATTTTCTCTAATTTTGGAGAAC